AAAAAAGAGCAGGAGTGAACCCAAGCGGCACGTGAATCCAATCACGAGTAAGCAAATGCCGGACACGCACGTAGCCAAACTACAATCTGGATCTGACGAGGGCACAATTGTCAGTGCTGCCATAGCAACCACCATTCCGTGGGATGACGAGAAGAGAGGCGGAAAGACAAACGAGAGCAAACAACATTGTCTGCCTAGGACCACAACTGTCAATGCGGGTACGGCGATGATAGCCAACGACCGCACGCCGGATCCCAAGCGCATTGAGAATGTCCCGTCAATCCTTTTCCCGTTTCCCTGCTTGCCACGGTCCACCTGCATATGTGAATGTCTAAGTATTACAGTAAAAACACCCCTCCGTCTGCCCAAACAAGCGGCATGGGAATTGACGACATTCCCTTCCACCAGTTCCCCGACCAGTCACTCCGACTAAATTCATTAACTTTTTTCTTTCTTCCCCTTCGCTAACGTGAGCGTCATCCCGTAGAAATACTACGAGGCGCAGTAAGACAATCACCTCCAATGATGGAGGCTTGTTTGCGTTTAAAAAGTCAAGAAAATGCTATTTTTGTTCCCGAGTTGCCTTTTCTTTTCCTCCAGCTTCATGTGCTCATTTGCAAGAAATAGAGTATCGATGAAGACAATAAAGATGGTAATTGTCATATCTGGCCATCATTATCAGTCAGTAATACGCCACACCAGTCGCGGAACATCTATGATTCGAACCCCGGATCTTTGGTCGCTGAGTCGGACGCTCTATCATTGAGCCAGTGTACTATGTGTCAGATTTCTCAGGGCATGTCCCAAACTTGACCTGGCCATGTTTGCCACAGTAATGGGATGTAGAGTCGCTGATGACGGGTCTGGGCGCGCAATGACTGCTACATGGCGCAAGCACTTCTGCCACAGATTCGTATTCAGACAACGGAGCAGGAGTCAAAGGCGTTCGGCATACCATAAACGTAGATGAGGAATATCAATCCCTGTGTCCAGTTTCGTCTCCCGCAGGGGGTTAAGTACGTTTAACCCTAGCAACTGCGATCTTCAGGCCCGTTTCCTTAGAAGATGAGAAGTCACGGGAGGCCAGACTGGAAGGAACAGTTTATTCTATACAGAAGGAAGAGGAAAACAGGCAGTGGGAAATTGACTGTCAGACGGACAAACAACCACTGACTAGAGCAACGCGTCTGAATTGAGGTTACCGCGGGGATCTCCACAGCATCTGGAGCGACCTTTGTGTGAGTCGGCCTTAATGGGTAATTGGCCGGACCACATGAGTAGGCGGAGACATGGGCGTACCTTAGCAGCACTGAGTGTCCGCAGCGGCTGTCCGAAAGGTAGGTCGAGACTTGACATCACGTGAGGGTCTGCGCTGACTTGGGCTACTACACGTCCACGGTCTATTGGCAGTTTCGGGAAGCTGGCATTGGGAAGGAGAGAGGGGCTTACGTTGGCAGGTCCACCCCCAGGACAACCTAGTGCTTCCCCCCATAATCTAACCCGCTACGACGTGCTACCGAG